TCACAGGGGTCCCCTCAAGACTTTCCTTGACTTATACACTCGTTGGTGAGTGGACAGGCTTTATTATGGCCTTCTCACTCACTTACCAAGTCTCTGAAACAATAAAATTTGTGATCCACAAGGTTCCTCGTCACTCCGACTGAGTCGTGCGTTTTAACCGGATTTTGCAGGGATTCTCTGGATTTGCTGTAACTTGCCAGGAATCGGCTGCTGGTTTAACCCTAGAGTGATGTATCCACGGAGCCACTTCGGCTACTTTTATCGCTGTAGGGGTAGACAGAAGAACAACATAAGGACCTCTCCACTTGGGCCCTAACGGCACATTATTCCACTCTTTAATCCACACTTGGTCGCCTGGGTGGTAACTATGAATTGTGGGATAAATATTCACAGGTAATCTATCTTGTACCCATTTCTGTACCTCCTCCATAGTCTTACCCAACTCTACAACCTGCTGCCGGGTAATTCCTTCTCCCAACTGACTCAAATCCCCCCTTAAGTTACTAAGCACGGGAGGTGGTCGCCCGTACATGATTTCAAAAGGAGAGAGGCCCATCCTTCTGGTAGGTGTACTACGGATTCGCAATAGAGCTATGGGCAAGAGAACGCTCCACTTAAGTTGGGTTTCCTGACACATTTTAGCCAACTGATTCTTAATAGTTCTATTCATTCTCTCTACCTTACCAGAACTCTGGGGTCTATATGCCGTATGAAGCCTCCACTTTATACCAAGCATATGAGTCAATTGTTGTAGGCACTGATGAACAAAAGCTGGACCATTGTCCGATCCTATAGAGCAGGGTAGTCCATATCGGGGTATTACTTCTCGTAGCAGGAATCTCACGACTTCTCCTGCTTTCTCTGTACGAGTAGGACATGCTTCTACCCAGCCTGAATAGGTGCACACCACTACCAGCAGGTAGCGATGTCCACCCGATTTAGGTATCACTGTATAGTCAATTTGTAAATCGGACATGGGAAGTCCCCCCATAAACTGGACTCCTGGTGGCTTTACTGGTCCTTGTCTTGCATTATTTTTAGCACACGTTACACATCTACGTACAATGGCCTGAGTCAAGTTGGACAATCTTGGTATGTAGAAATGTTTTCTGAGAGATTCTTCTGTACTGTCTCCCAGAATGTGTCCCGTTATGATAGTTTTGGACAATTTCTACCGCTAGTGATGCTGGAATAACTATTCTTCCATCTTCTAACTGATACCATTTGTTCTCCAAATACTTTCCAGGTTCAGTCCTTAACCACTCCTCTTCTTGAGCTGTATAAATTGGAGTCCATTGAGACAGTGGAGTTGGTATAAGAGCAGCTATATGCCCTACATATTCCTGTCTTCCTGATTCAGCAGCACGCTTAGCTGCACTATCTGCCATCCGATTCCCTTTGGTTACATCACCATCTCCTCTCAGATGCGCCCGACAATGTATAATACCGACTTCTTTCGGCTCCCGCACTGCTTCCAATAGTTGTAGGATCTCAGCTGCGTATTTGATTTCTTTGCCTTCTGAATTCAATAGTCCTCTTTCTTTATACAAAGCTCCATGGGCATGAGTGGTTAAAAACGCATACTTGGAGTCCGTGTAGATGTTCACTCTTAAACCTTCAGCCAATTGTAACGCTCGTGTCAGTGCTATCAATTCTGCCTTTTGTGCTGATGTTCCTTTCGCCAGTGGCCAAGCTTCTATCACCTTGTCTATCGTTGTTACTGCATATCCTGCATAGCGGATCCCTTCTTTTACATAACTACTGCCGTCGGTGTAATATTGAACATCAGGGTTCTGGATGGGAAAATCACGAAGATTTGGTCTACTTGAAAATACTTCATCCATTACTTCCAAACAATCATGTTGACTTTCAGTAGGTTGTGGCAAAAGGGTAGCTGGATTTAAGGTATTTACAGTCTCTAAATGCACTCTTGGGGTTTCACACAACATTGCTTGATACTTGGTCATACGGCTGTTACTAAACCAATGATTTCCTTTGTAATCCAACAACGTCTGTACTGCATGTGGAACTCGTACATAAAGTTCTTGACCCAGAGTGAGTTTATCGGCTTCAGCTACTAGCAGGGCGGCTGCAGCTACAGCTCTTAGACAAGGTGGAAGTCCGCTGGCCACTGCATCCAGTTGCTTAGACATGTAGGCAACAGGTCTTTGCCATGATCCCAAGTACTGTGTCAATACTCCCACAGCCATTCTTCTTTGCTCATGTACATACAGGTAGAATGGCTGTGTGTGGTCAGGTAGACCTAATGCTGGGGCACTCATCAAAGCCCTCTTTACATCTTCGAATGCCGTTTGCTGTTCTTGAGTCCATAAGAAGGGGTCGTGCTCTGTACCTTTGATAGCTGCATACAGAGGTTTTGCCAGTATCGCGTAGCTGGGAATCCATATCCTACAGAAGCCTGCTGCCCCCAAGAATTCTCGCACTTGTCTTCTATTCCTGGGTATCGGTATTTGGCACACAGCTTCTTTTCTCTCTGGCCCCATAATTCTTTGACCTTCAGAGATATGGAATCCCAGATATTTGACAGTTGGCAAACACAACTGAGCCTTCCTTCTTGACACCTTGTATCCTGCCTTCCAGAGGATGTGTAGTAGATCATGCGTTGCTTGCTGACATACTTCCTTTGTAACTGCTGCTATCAACAAGTCATCTACATATTGTAATAAAACACACTCTCCTGGGATAGACTCAAAATCTAGTAGATCTTGGCTTAGAGCTGAACCAAATAGGGTAGGTGAATTTTTAAACCCCTGGGGCAATCTTGTCCAGGTCATTTGGCGTTTCGAGCCCGTTACAGCATTTTCCCATTGGAAAGCAAAGATACATTGGCTCTCTACGGCAATTCGGAGGCAAAAGAAGGCATCTTTGAGATCTAAGACTGTAAAGTAAGTAGCCCCGCTCGGAATTAAAGCAAGCAGGTTATACGGATTGGGCACGACTGGATGTATACTAACAACCGCATCATTGACTGCTCTCAAGTCCTGCACAGGTCGATACTCATCTGTACCGGGCTTTTGAACAGGCAGCAATGGGGTGTTCCAGGGGAAGTACAGAATTTTAGGATACCATACCGTATGAACTTATCCAGATAAGATTGGATGTTCTTCTTAGCCTTCTGCGGAATATGATATTGTCTCAGGCTTACTGGATAAACCCCAAGTTTTAGTTCGATTTTAATAGGTGGAATATTGCGGGCCAGTCCTGGTGGGTTGTTCTCTGCCCAAACTCCTGGTA